CATTCGCAACAACTGGTCTATCACTTTACCTGAAAGAAAGATACGGCATTAAAGAAGAGGTGCCATATTTGTAGATAGGTCAAAAACCTCATCAGTATCTATCCCACTGACATTCATGCAAGCAGAATGTTTTTTAGCCTTACTAAAGACTAATATCTGTGCCCTCCATCCTGTCAGTGTCGTGAACGTTATCCCAATAAGAAAAGTGAAATGCCTTAGAGAAGGAAAAAAGTTCTCTAATGACCAAGAAACTGATAAGAAAGAGCCAACTTTTGCTGCTTTTTAGTCTATAAAACGTCCAGGTATAAAGAGGTATGATCTGAGTTAAAGAGCCTGGAACTGCCACAACAGAGGGAACAAAGTAAGCACAAATACTGTGGTTGATGTAGATACAGAAAGAAAAGTACTTCATGCTGCTGCAAAAATTATCTCTGAAATATGCTGCAAAATCTACAGAATTATCAACAAACAATACCATTTCTTAGTAATTCTTTAAGACCTATAGCTATTAAAACACTTTCTCCTTCCCTAACGCAAGGCTCCTACTTGCTGCTGTTAAGAGAAATAAGGCAGATGTCCTCCATCTCTTGATTTCTTGCTTCTAGTGAAGCATTCAAGCACCCATAAATCCTTCATTCAGTTCCTTCAGTTCAGTTCCACAAATAAAGAAGGAAATGCAGAACTAATGTTTGTTCAATGTTTTGTTGAAATAGTTGAATGTTTCACCTTTACATGAAGACCCTTATCAAAATTAGTTTTTAAAACAAGGTACAAGATTCCATTACATATCGAGTAATCAGCAATATAATACATCAACTGCCTCTATAATAAATTAACTGCCTGCAAGCCATTAACTGCCATCAGGATATACATTTCAGCACAGAAGATAACACATTTTATCATGCCAAATCAGCAACGTAGTCAACAGGAACAAAGAATAACTTTGCACTTTGCAGTTATTTGAAAGCGGACGTAAGATGTGGAATTATTTGGGAGCCTATGAAGTGACTGCATAGAGTGCAAAACAATGAACTCATGTCCAGTATATATATTCTGAAGTATTTTTAGTGAACAGACAAGAATTGCTGAGGGAATTAACTCATATAAGCTGTAAAATGCAGTTTTCTTACATCTGTTGTGACTTACAAAAACCCAACGCCAGCATAATAAACTGTAGAAACTTAGGAGGAAAATTATTTTAAGACAGAATACCTACCGGTCTGGTTGTACCATATCCAGCAGTTCCTGCGCTTGGAATTCCAGTTGAAGGTGGAGGCTGATTACGAACTGGAACAGATATTAGAGATTGCTGACTTAGAACGTATTTCAAAATTAACTTCTTTCTGTATTATAATTAGTACAAAGCATGTATCTGTATTACCTAAGTTATCTTTTCTTTGTGTTCCAGGACTTTTTTGTGCTTTGAAGCATGGAAAAAAAATTAGATTATCTTTGTTAGGTAAGCTACAAATGGGTATTATACGGCAATGGTACATTATCACTAATGGAAATGGGAGCAAAAAGACATTAGTGATTTTTTTTAAAATTGTTACATATTAAAGTCTATCCATCAACTAAGCTGTTACTCTAGCACACTCTTATCCCATGGCACATGTGAAGTAATTTGACCCTTCTAATTACAAATTAAGTCAAATCACCTCCTATTTGTTGCAAGCTAAAAGACGCCCACTTGTACAGGTACCCTGTGTTCTCGACCGTGCTAGAAGTTGTTTTCTTTTGCAGTATATTCTGCAAGTATTCTAACAGCAGTCTTTAAAACAAGAAGAACTTATGTAACATGCTGATTCAAAAAATCATGCGATTGGAAGAGTACATCTGTAATTATACATGGTTCAGCAATCTACAGCATCAACACCAAAGTTCCTGAACCTACTCTTTCTGTTTATGGCATAAATATATTAGAGCACCAACCTCCAGATTTACATGCTGATGCTAATGACAACCTTGTATGCAACATTCAAGTTGTGAAGTCAAGATATGAAAAAATTACCTTTACCTCAGACAAGTGCACAATTTCTAACAGGCAAAGAGGTTTAGGATTCTGGCTTGTGTTTCTGTTGCCTATTTCCCAGGAAGGTAAAATCACCATGTCAATTACAGTAACTGGAAGGAATACTCTGTGGTACATAAGACACTTAGTTTATCAAATTGGCTTCCAGTTGTCAGACAACCCTGCTTTCTTAGACCGGTTAGAACAGGTTTCTGGGTACAGTTCTCAATAATGCAACTCGTACCCTAAGCAACCTGGTGCCAGTTTACCCTACTCTGAGCAAAAGGTTGGACTAGATAACCACCAGAGGTCCCTTCCAACCTGAACTATTCTATGCATATAGTGATTTTGCCAATTTAGCAAAATGAACAAGCAATATAGCCAAAATTAATTGTAGTATACAGGAGGACATCTTGACTGTGATTATATTAGGACTTTTATTGCCATACCTATATTTGCTACAAAGGGGCACATTCCTGGATCGGAAATGACTCTGCTGGCATGGCTAAAACAGGACCCATTCAGCACTATACGCACATACTCCAACTACAATAATGCAAGAGAAATGCTTCTCATAAATGCATGCCACATACATTTAGGTATCAGAATCAAAATACCTACACTGTGCTCTTTAGAAAGAGACAAAATATTAAATTATAGGCTAAACTATTTAAATGGAAGTTTATCTCCCCCAAATATATGAACATAAGTAGTTCTTTATGAAAAATTAGGCTTCCTAGATTCCTGATTTAGTTACAGGTGTAGTATTTACTCTAGCAATCAGTCAGCTACAGGTTCCTCTGAAAGTCAGCCTTGAAAGCATGCTTCTTGATTAGTGCAGTCTAAGTTTTCACTTCATTTTTCATAAATGAAGACTGCCTTCTATAACAATTCACACCATCACTGAAAAACAGGAAGCACCTTGGCTGTCTGAAAACTATGTTAAATAAAAGAAGAAAGATCCTACACAATAAATACCTTCCTGAAACCACCTTTAGTATTACAAGGGCAATAATATTACTCAGGTATTAAATAAGAAATCCGTTTCTAGAATACAAAAATTATTATGTTACCTTCTACTTCTCTCCTAGCTACCCCAGGACTGGGAGGAGCTCCAAGACCTTTTCAGAGAAAGAAGAGAAGCTGTACATTGCATAAGAAAAGCAGTAGATTGAGAAAGTAAAACCAGAAAGAACACTGCCACAAGACAGCTTTACATAATTTAAAAATGGCCTAGCTAGATTGTAGTTACTTGTAGGAGATAACTGTTTGTAGCAGCATGGGGAAACCAGACTGATACGAATTAGAGATCAGCAAGTACGATCATGTTTAGAAACATGCTATTATTTCAATTTTACATTACAGTTGAAAGAGAATTTCATTTCTTCAGTATTGACTCTCCACAAACTTTTGGAAATTCAGAATGATATTAAATGTCAGTCTTGAAACTCTCCTAAAGCAGAGCATATAGCTATACTCAAACACTTGAAAATAAACAGGTATATCAGTTATACCCTGCAACATTAAGTCTGCTTCCTGTAATTTAGGAGAATACTACATAGTATGTTTCTGCCAAGACTACATTTGAATAAGCAATTTTATGGAAGAAATAAGTTTCCCACTTTATATAATGTATTGTATCCTACAGAATTGTATCATTAAGTTATCTCCAAGCAGCACTCTGTACTTGGGAAAGCTGTATCAACTGTGTAGATGTTATAGTTCAGATTAAGAGAACGAAGATTTTCAATCATGCATAACCATGCTGAATTATTTTATTTCTGCAATATGATCAAACATATAGTAGGTCCATAAAATTGTATGATAAAAACATGGCAGGACATAGATAACACTAGATGGTATGCAAGGAGAAATCCTTAAGGCATGCGCATAGGAAAAAGTATCAGTAATATCTGGCAACTCTGGAGTGGCTCAAGTATAGAGGAAGGAAAGGGAGCCAGTGTTCAAGAAGCCTACCTTAAAAGCAACTTTTGCCTTAGCGATGACACAGCCTCATGCTTTCTCATCATGTGCCAATGTGTGGTATCTGCTCAGGAGCTCTCTATGATCTGGAAACACACATTGGCACATGATGAGAAAGCATGAGGCTGTGTCATCGGTCACTCAGAGTAGGAAGAGTGAAGGTTGCAGATGAGGCTGGTATGTGATTATCTCCAGAGATGTCAGATCTCTGGTTTTGCTGAACATCTGGTTCAAAGATGTTAAATACTAGCATATGTTATATATTCTGGGTGAGTTCCAGGCTCTGCCAATTAACATTAGATTTCCATCGCAAAAGTTCCTGACAGTGAACCTCTCTGCAAGAGAAGCAGCACTGAGGAGGGATGAACAGAGAGCGTTTGTAAGGAGGGGGCACAGGAGGAGAGCACTGCCTGAGAACATTTCATTCCTTTCAGGTACTAACTCTGCCCTTCTCCCATGCAGCCCAGAGGAACCCTGGGGGAGAAAAGGAAGTGGTAACCCATAGGCTGTGAGAAGCCTACCTGCTAACTGGAGGAAAATAAAGGGAGGTGGAGGGGAGCCCAGCAGAGTACAGGACACTCCTCTGAACCCTCTGTGGTTACAGAGACATAAATCTCAGAATATTAATAGAAATGGACACAATAAAACCTCTCCAAGAGCAGGGAACTAGCCTGTTCATTTCACAGATCATCTGCACTTTCCCCTCCCAAAGCTCAATTCAGCCCATACTTTGAATAGGTATTTTCAGGATGCTCTTGTTAAGCAAATCTTGTTTTATGCAAGAGGATTAATAAAGTCAACTCCTTTCAGGAGAAGGAAGGCAGAGAATCTCTTTGACCGTGGCACATAGACATGCTCCTATGTTGGTGCACCATACAGAGGAAGACTTCTGTGCCTGAGGATTTTAAAAGGTTTTGCGAATTTAAAAATATTCATCATATGGGAGAGAAAGGGCATAAAGGTCAAATACCCCAAATTTCACTTACTAATAATACCCTTCAACAGTGATAAAGCAAAATTATGGTGCTGTGATAATGCAATCACAATTGGCATTGCAAGAAGACTGTAATATTAAGGACAATGAAAAACATACATCTGAACGTGAAACACATTTTTGGGTATCATTTTAAACTGTTACTGTAGTCTGTATATAGCTTGAAATCTCCATTGCAGTTTGAAACTGTATTTTGCAAGTAAAGATACCACATACTTGTTTTAAATAGTATTTTAAGGAAAGGGCTTGGATTTATACAGAAACAAACTGTAACTTATGCCCCGACATCTTTTAGACAGAACTGCACGTTTTGCAAAGATTACATTTACACATTAGCTTAATGGAAAATAAAGCAACCCTAACTTCTCCTAAAGTAAAATGTGCATATATGTGCACCTGTGTGTGTGTGTGTGTGTATGTGTGTGTATATGAGAAATCTAGGCCATTTGCCTACATTTGAACAATGCATTTACTGTTTTAGCATTAAGGCTTCTTGTTTCCTCCATTACTGAACATTCCACCTTCAGCAAGAAAAGGTGCTCCTCCTCGTATTAAAAAAAACCCAAAAAAACAACCAACCAACAAAAAAAACTTTTTCAAAATGACTGCCGTATCCTAATGCACCCAAACAACCTGAACTCTGCTCTGAAAAAAAGAAAAGCTACAGGGGAAAAATAAAGATGTTGAATGGTTCTTGCAAGGCTAAGTTTAATGTGTGACTATAAATATCAGTGTACACTAGCAAGTACCTGCTGCTTGGGTGCATGTATTTTCATAGCTTAACATACTTGCATTTCTTTTAATGTCAACTTTATTATTGTATTTTCTAGGTTGATTTTATTTATTTGGAGGATTATCACAGTGAAAATGTAATGCATTTTACCCAAATTATTGCATATACTGAAAATACTGTGCATTCTCTCAATCTTAACCCAATCTTAACCCCATTTTAACAGTTTAAACCAATGATAAAAGACAACTATAAGCCTTTCCTGCATTAATCAGGAAAAGTCTGACTAATACTATTAAAGGAACAAAAAACAAAACAAATGTTATTTTCGAACTTCAAGTAATTGACAATTGGCAGCCTCTGTAATTTTTAATGTTCTGTACAAATTTACTCTGTAATGTATTAAAAAAATCCTGGGTAAACAGAGTGCAACATTTTAATTTTTAGTTGTTTAACTATAAACAACTGAGAGCTTATAAAATCCTCAGTGGAAATCTTTCGTATTAGCAGGTGAAAAGTCTATACTTTGCAAACCCCTGCAATGAGTACATGGCCTTGTTTCATGAATTCTGAGTTACTTCTGATGTAAAATATGACCAAACTCTAAAAAAAAAAAAACCAAACCCCAAAAACCTTAGATGCCCAAATCCTGCTCCCATCTTCAAAGCATACTGAGCCATTAGAAGAAATGTTACAGGCATTGAGGAATGAAGCACTCAGAAAAAAAGTTTAAAACACACAAGCAAAAAAAAAAAGTAACATTTAAAATGCACAACATTTTAAAGACATGATCAATGTCACTTTGCATGTGCTACATAAGCCTAAAACCAAAGTTTGATAAAGGGATATTTTCACAGTGCTTTAGGAGCCTTCATTCTAGGTAAGAGAAACAGATGCCATTTCCCCAAGCACAATAACACACTATGACATTTATACTGTTTCTAGTCCTGTGCTAGCTTGCTCAGAGCTGAGCTCAGGTACCGCTGAAAAACAAAGCATTATGCCTTATAAATGTACGCCATGACTGGAAAATGAAGAGGATAGAAAAAGTTGGATGAGCTTTAGGTCAGAATAATACATGAAAAAAATATACTACAATCGCTTTTAAAAGATTGCATAAAAAGCAAGTTTTATGCAAGTTAAAATTCTTTATGGAAAGCTATGTTGGGAGAGAGGGTAAAAGAAGGTCTTTGCACAATTGAGACAAACTAGGCAAACAGGATTGTGTCAGTGCACGGAAAACTATATAGGACTGAAGTAGTACAATTAATTAAATCTCATATATGTTGTGCGTTATATATAAACTGGCTATTTTCTAAAACTTAAGCATTTTAACTAATTCGAAATGCCTTTGGCATAATAACCTCCTCCCCTCAACTGTATATAAGAGCCATGCACATCTCTGCCTGAAATCAGAATAAGTTAGCTGATATTTATATATTACATAAAATAGTTTACTTATTTCTCAAAAAACCCTCTTTCCTACCGAGTGGCAGTGTCTGAAAAGCCATTAAGGAAGTATTTCAGAGCCACTAACTATTCGCACTCTATCCCATGTATTGATGAGCTGATTTAAGTCCAAGCAGGACAGCTCAACTATGAAGCGTGTGACAAAGAAGGACAAAGATTAGTTTCAAGAAGAAGCACTTCTGAGAACACGTGAGTTGTTATTACATGCAAAACCAGATCAAGATGGAAAAAACCAAAACTAGCCTGAAGGGTTGATAAGGCCCTCAGCATTATCAAAAGGGAAGGAATTAGGGGAGAATTATTTCAGGATTTTGTTACTTTGTAAAGACCTGTAGCTCTCAAGTGCCTTCAAAGTAACTGAATAAATTCCTTTGCTAAGTTTGTGTTTCTGAAGTACATACTAGTTCCAAGAACTATGGAGGATGTTTCATGTCTCTAGAAAGGGCTTAGGAGCACATTTCAGACTCGGAAACAGAAGATAAACTACCCACATGTCAGTGTTCAGCTTAGAGACAAATATAGCTCAGTGATTTAAGCTCTCTGTTAACTGGTGATCATCCGGGGGAAACTGGGCCAGACTAGCAGTAGTTTCAACTTGAACAATTAATTAATGGATAATCACTGCAAGTAGCTACAATCACAATCCATTTTACAATGCTCCTTGTCATGGACTGTGAGGAAAAAAGCTAGCCTTTTCACAACTAAAGACAAGTTTCTCCTTTCACAGAAAAGTTAGCTGGGTATATTTTGACCAGGACAAAGTAATAAAAACCTGGAACAACTTTAATCTCTCTGACTATAATGTACCAACTTCTGGAGAAACATTTTTTCACTAAAAAATCAAACGTAATTCAGAGGGGGATACAAACCCTGAGAAAGAAATTACATAGATGTTCAAGAACTACCCATTTTTATACCTTTGGACATCATCATAAGTATTGTCACAACAGACCACCATAGTAGTTTTGCTACGTAGTCATATTTGAAAACAATTAAAATCATTACCTCCAAATTCTTTTCTAGCAGGTGCAGGACTCCTACCGCCTTACAGTATTTAAGAAATGAATGCAGCAATAATGAAAAATATCAGTACAGTAAGAGAGAAGAAAAAGAATGAGAAAGTTAAAAATGACAAGGGTCAGTTTGTTATTAACTATGTTGCCCATATGCTTCTGAACATCCAGTTTCTCTTAGTGCTCAATTGTTTACATTTTCAGATGATCCAGATGAACCCTACATTAAAAACTTGGACATGATAAAATGTACACATACTGATACCAAAATTAAAGGAATATAAATCAATGAATGCACAAGATTATTTATCTTTTATTTTAAAAATGAAGATGCTATAAAAATGAAAGTGTTGAGTAAACACTGCTGTAGGAAGCCCACATTTTTAAACTGTGAAAATAAGTTTATAAAAATTGTAAAAAATTATGCACTAAGCAAAGACAATAATATTTAAATGGTACTGAAAAATGCTGTTACTTCCCATGCTGTTATTGCTATTAAATGTGCCAATTAAACATTTTAATGAAAAAATGGTATGTTCCATTGAGCCCCAAACCAACCATACAATATGTACTTTGGGTGCGGACTTCAAAGTTCATCTCACAGACTTGAAACAAAATATTCCTGACCACCTGGTATATGTCACCGCATTACCTGATGGTGGAGGCGGCCTCTGTGGTGGAGTGGGGCGTGCAGGAGGAGCAACGGGGCGAGGTGGTGGAGGACGCTTAGGCTCCAAGCTCTGAGAGGACTCTTTCTGCTGGGTACCAAGCTGAAATTCAGCTGAAGAACATGACAGAAAACAATGCAAAAATTAATCACTTGTACATTCTAATCACAGTAAAGCTTTTCTAATAGCAAGTTATTTTCACAGAGAGGACAGTCAGTCCCCAGCCCTGGAAACAATGACAAAGAAGTTTTTGAGAGAGGGAAAACAAGAGGAATAAACCAATGGTGAAAAGAAGCAGATTTCCTAAATTAAGATTTTTGTCTCATATGCTTTTATCAGTATATGCTTTTCATGGAATCCTGAACGTTCTTACAAATTGCAGAGTTCCAAATTTTGATTTCGACCCTTATCTGTGAACTAAGTGCTCTGGAAAAAAGCGTTACAAGGGGAATTCTGAAGGGATTTTAGCAGTCTTTGTAAAGTTACTCCAAATTACATTGAAATAAACCATTCTAGAAGCCATCCCAAACACTGTAATTCTAAATGTCCGCTTTGTCACTAAAATAAAGTTGTATTTAAACGGAAGCTTTCATATTGTACGCCCAATTTACAAATCTACTGATTACAATTTACATATTACAGCTGATAGGAGCATTAATTGAAATGGGTTGTATTTGAAGAGTATGACTAAAGTGAACTAGGATTATACTGACACTTGCAACAGAATTTTTGAACAGAGGTTTCAAACTAATCAACTTAGAAAGCCTATTAATCACATAACTTTTTGAGATGTCTCTTTCATGATGAAATGCTAAAGAACTAGAGCAAGTTAGGTAGTTTGCAGCAGCGTAGATCAGTGGACAGTGTACTAAGTAAGACTCAGGAAACAAAGCTCTTCCATTGCCCATTAGGAAAACGAGACACAAAGAATGAGGTCATTTGCCCAAGGCCACTTATGTGTAAAATGCTAGATAATCACAAGAATAGCCTTTTATATTAATCTAAAAGCTCTGTTAAAAATAATCTATAAGCTAGTGTTCTACCAGTGGGCCATACAGCTGTCAGATTGTATAGTAGTAATAGAGGCAGTCGAGCAATGCAATACACACTGTGTGAGGAAACAGGTGGTCCAGGAGTTTTTGTTGGTGCTCGGCTTGGTCTTACTGGGAGCGTAGGTCCATCTGACAGCGTAGGGGACTGACAGGGACTGGAACGCGGTGAAGAGCTTGGGGAGGTTCCAAGACCAGAGCTTGAAGTTGGCTGTAGATGCTGAGGAAGGATTTCTTCTACTTCAGCACTATAGTCATCAATGTCTCCTAAATAACAAACCCCACACCAAAAAGAAAAAGTATGTAAAATAAAGGGAGAAATAGTTACTTATTTTAAAAAGTGATTATAAACTGATTCTGGGCATGGGATTTTCTGCAAAAAGCTCTCAGGTTCCAAGGAATTAGCTCAACAACCCAAGTATGATTCTTGCATCATAAAATTACACATGAAGAATGCATATGTATTCGAACCAGTTGAAAATACTCCAAATGCATAATATATATTGTAGATATTTATTACAGGTAATTATAATAGTGTGCCAACTGTAATGTTGCTTAATCTAAGAAACAATTAGCTTTACAAAGAAGACCTTTGCAAAAATTATTTCCCTGGTTTGCAATAGATGGCAAGCTTCACTTATCATTCTTTAGAAGGCTGGGCAGGGGATTTCAAGGTATCTGCTATTTGTAATACATTTTGTTTGAAAAGGTGGAATGATGTTTAAAAAAAAAGGTTCAACATGGACGTGCCTTTGAAAAGTAAACTGTCAATTTAGAATATTTTTATGTTGATACTCAAAATGCCTAAAATAGACAATTATCCCATCACACTCCAATAAGACCACAGTAATCCTTTCTTCCATAACTTCTAGGCTTCTCTCTCTTCAGGTACATGAACGACACACAATGTTCTACAGAAGTTCCAGTTTCAACTCTGCACTGCTCAGCAGTAACAGAGTAACCAGGCTGCTAATTAGGTATTAGCTTTTGATTTAAGAGTCTTGTGGGATTTGAGATGTCACATTTTAAGGAAATCACACCATTTCACATAGGACTATTAATAAAATCAACCAATCATACAGGCGTCTGAACTGTTAAAGTCCTGTTTACTACCTGCATTGGAAAACAGATGAAGTATCTTATGACACCAAGACTAATGCAAATTTCAACTTTTCATAGAGGTTTCCCATATCTGTACCCTTATGAAAGCATATCTTCCTTTATTAAATACCTGTACAAAAAAACCTTAGTCTACTCCTTCCAGTATACATAGCTGACACCTCTTTTCTTGAAACTTTTGCAACGTAATGTTTGCCACTAAGGAGCTTGGATAGAAATTCAAAGCAAATGAGCTACTCAGAATAAATCAATATAGACACAATGATTACATCTAGAAAGTATATCTGTTCAAGAAATGAAAAAAACCCGACCCTGTAAAATACATATGGAAATGCAATACACACAGGAAGTGTCAGCAGGTAAGGTACAGGGTTTTTTTTTGCTGCTGTTCGAAAAACAGCTGGTTTACTTGCCAAAGATATAAGAAGAATATATTTCAATGTAGAGAAGACAGTGAAGCAGACCTTTCATAAAAATTAATTAATAGATTAAAAAATAAGCTGTGACATAGGTTAGAAACATGCAAGTAAAGAAAAGCAAAAATGCAGAGACAAAAAAACAGGGGACCAGAAAACTGCAACGCATCAATGCCGAAGATCAGCCTGTTCCAAGGAGCAACAGAGGTTGAAGGTTTCCTTGCCCGACTCATATTTACCTGCCTGTCAAAGGCTCACCAGGTCTCTTCTTGGGGGTGGTAAGCATATCGATGCTTAGCATAGGAGCTCATTAGTCCTATTAATCTATTATGTGTATTGGCAAAAAAAGAATTGCTTTGCACTCTGAAGTTGTGTATATCCTGCTTATAATAGGGTGCCTCCATGAACGGTAAAAGTTGCCTGAGTGAAGTGACCCTGAGAGGGAGGTCACAGGATAAAGTGCGAAGAATAAAGAGAATGTCAGCAAATTAGTAAAACCTAGAGATACAGTGCAAACTGACAGTGCTCAAGAAGTTGCCAAGATACTGTTGGAAATAATGGGATTTCTAATTTATCTGTTTTAGATGGGCATACACTTGTTAAATTAAAGTACTGATACATGCATTAAATTAACCACATTATTTAGGACTGTAAGCATTTCAAAACAAGGAATACTTTATTTCAACAAACCTTCCATATCATAGTCTGCTGTAACCTCAGCATCTTCACAAAGCAAAGTAGAGCTTGTTGATGAAGGCAGCCCAATATTAATTTTCTCTAGATTCATTTCATCTTCCAAACTTCTGATCCAATCTGGATTTTTCAAGCTTATGTTTATAATCCTTCCTAGTAGCTGAATTGCCAAAAAGGTATGCACAAAGCAGAAATTATTAAGAGTAGGAACATTAAAATTCAGCATTCTAGATTTAAAAAGCAAAAAAAAAAAAAAAAAAAAAAATTACTGAAAATATTACAAATAAGATTATCAGAATTTCTGGGAGTAAACAATGGCAGCAACACATCACAAAAATAATTATGCTTTTCACTTCATTTTGGTAATTAAGTACATTTATGTAGTTTAAACTGCTAATAACAACTATTTAATATTTTTCTAAAGAAAAACTAACAACTTATCTCATAAGATTTTCCTTTTCAGTTCATAGGAAAGCTTCTGGTTTCTTTTTCCCCGACAGAAACACTACTCTTAGTAAAGAAAAACAGACTTGCTTATAAACTACATTAATAAAGTCATTTTTAGAGACTGATAAAATGATAAAACAGCAGGCCTTCATTCTGCAAACTGACACATGACACTGAGCCCCTATCCTGCATGGACTGTCAGTGAAACTCTCAGCAGATGCAAGGATCCATCTGCAAACATCACATTACAGAATCTAAGTCTTAACAGGAACATAGATCAGTAAAAATTTGAACATGAAAATTAAAATTTTTACAAAGATGAAATACTGGCCCTATAGAAGTCAATGAGAACTGAAATTTTGACATTTTTAAGTGATTGCAGTACAGCAGTGCTGAATTTTAAATAATTGCAGGCTATAAATATAAACTGGTTCATACTACAAACTCAAGGTAAAAACTCTGCTTCTTAAATCATTAAAAAAAACCAATTAAAAATCTCTCATTTGATGAAGATGTCCCCCAATATAGGATTTTCATTTCTCTTAACAGTCCTCCTCCTAAAAATAAATTAAGTTTGGTACTTCTCTCAGCTGGCTTTTGAAACTCAACATAATGCTGTGTGTATTAAAAGTAAAAAAAAAAAAAAAACAACAAATTAATGCAACAGTCTAGTACGGAACATGAAAAACTTTTAAGAATTAAAAATAAACAAACAAAAAACCCAACCCACGCAAGTATTCTTTAAAAAGTTGGATTTTCTCTTGCTATATGAAAGTTCAGTAATTTTTACATTACCTCAGTACCATTCAAATTCATAACATTCAAAGCAGAGCTTCCTTCCAAAAATGTTACCCACATCTTGTCTTCCACGAACCTGCAAAGTCCATTGGAAACAGTAATTACAATACTTTATCCTACCTACTAACTTTTGAAGCCTCTTATCTTAAAGGTTTTTCAATGTTTCACTTGATGGAGAAGAATTATTTTTTTAAGTTCATTAAAATATATATAATTGGCTAATAAGCTTTAATTGAATGTATCCTTGCAACAACAAAAAAAAAAAAGCAAAAGAGAACCAGGTACATATCACACAGCAAAAGCACTGTCCTCTTAAAAATTATGTGACTACAATTACACATTCAATAGTAATTGCATGGCTACAGATTAGATATTTGTATTAGGTGTTCCACGTTACATCACACTGTGGACTTGAGACTATGCTCCTAGTCTTCTGAAAAAACAAAACAAAACCACCCCCCAAAAACCCCAAACAAAATACCAAAACACTTATAGTTCAATTAACAGCTTAGTGAAAATGCAACATTCACAGGGATCCTCTCATCTTCAGTTCATTTAAAACCACTAACCTTTAGAATACAAAATTTGTATAAAATTACATAAATAACAAATTTTAACTCTGACTGATTTTTGACAAAGTCAGTATGATACTCTATCTCAAAAATAGAGGATCTGGAAAAATTACGTCTGAAAACTGAGACATATACAGGTATGTAAAACTTATTTTCAACTGTAAAGACATTAAAGTTGAAATCTAAATGTTAAAAATTAGGCAGATCATAACTGAAATGCCCGCTAAGAAAGTAACTTTATTCAGAAACTAGGTGGGAACAATGAAGAGGAATAGAGATTAAAAGTAAAAAGTCTTTTTAACCTTATAAGTATAACTTCACCATAGCTTGCAAATTTTTGAAGAAGGTCATCAATCAAGTTATCATCAAAATAGTTTTCTTCTGCTGAAGAACTTCTGATGGAGACCATTACAGTACCATCAGGTGGTCCTTGCATTGCGATCACCTCCTTATAAACTTTTTGTCTCTCTTCTGCTTCAATTTCAAATATGTCAATGTCAATCAATGCAACCACAGGCCTTGGAAAAGAATACACAAGAAAAACCTGTAAGCAGAGTATCTGAGCACAAAATATATAACATGAATATTAAATCTTCAATGATTAGGAAGTAATGTATAAAATAAAAATGAAACCTATGATCAGATGTTTTCAGTTCTGCTCTTCCGTAGTGCAACAAAGTACCAGGATTCCATGTATAAGGGACATTACTGTCACTGTGAAAACTAGCATTCAGAAGATCCAGGTCTTCAGCTACATTCAGTATTAATGAAAACAAAAGGGGAAAAACACAGTGATTGCAAGAATATGCTTTAAAAAATAAGCTATTTGTAAAAAGAGAAAAAAGGAAAGTAAACCAAAACCAAGTGTTTTACAGAAAAAACACAGAAGTTCCTTTTGAACTACTGAAACATCAGTAACTGGTATCTGATTCTTGACCCTCCTGTTCAGCGTCACTGTATTTATTGCAGATGCTATTATAAGCTTTCTGTCTCATACAAAGTCAGGGACAGAAGCTCAGAACCACTGGCACTGTGAATGTCACTAAATGGATTCTATAAGCCAGTTAAAAGAATATTTTAAACAATTTAAGGAAGCACTCAAACCTGATCGGTCAAAAGGCCATTTTCTTCTTCTCCAAAGAATACGATCTGTCCATGCTGGTGTGCGACATTTTTCACTGGTGTCATAGTCATCAGAAAACAGATCATATTTGTATGTAGGAGCAAAATTTATTTTCCCTTCCAAAAATCCCCTAAAAATCTGTAAGAAACAAAGCAGTTATGTGTCATGCCAGAAGACAGAAACAGATGGGAAACAGCTTGAAACTAATCAGAATTCTCTTTTCTAACAGTGAAAACCTCCATACACATCTCAAAAAAAAAAGTCATTTTATAATATGAATCCTTCTCCAAATTTTATCTGCTGAAAACATTCTACGTTTGCCACTAAGACTAAATAGTGACCCAGACAAATCATCATTAAACAGAAGTATGTCAACATTTGTATCTTCAAACCCAGGCTCATGAGCAACATACTGTTCCTCCAATGTCATTCAGAACTTGAGGTCATCCAGAATACAGATACTGTCCACAGCACTTCAATTAGTTGGTTAGTTGCTCATGTGTCAGTAAAAGTTGGGACTTAAGGTTTATATTTTATGTACTTATCTGAACATGCAAAGCATTCCCACAAATTGACACAAGATGCCCCACCAATAAATAGAAGTTAAGGGGACAAAAAAAAAAAAAAGAAAATCAGAGAGTCCTTAATACATTCAATATGAACTGAAAGATTAGAGAGATAATATCACATTTCTTCTCAAGTGAATAGGAAAACAGAATAAAAAGAGATATTATATGAAATTATCCGCCAAGAGTAAGTATGGTATTTAGAGATAGAGAGTCAATTGAAAGGAATCAAAAAACCCGTTAGGTACTTTGCAACATAAACAGATACAGCCAGCTGACACAAGACCCTAGGCCAGGAGATTTGCTCACTCCTTAAGTGTTTAAACTAGACATAAGCTAAAACCCTTTAGTTAACTTAACCAGCTCCAGTCTTGAGTTTAATCTTGTATGGGCAGTTCTATTTCACATCAGAGATGTGTAAAATATAAATCTAACTTAGATCTTATAGTCAAGTCTGCATCAAATGACAGTTTAGCCTGCTTTTCGTGTTGGAAATATAAATTGAAATCCAGTCAATTTAAAAATCAATGTCAGAAGATCAATGTCAGAATGTCAGAAGATCCGCAACTTCTGAGACAATTTATTATTTTCTTTGCCTTCGGTAATTATTTCTTAACCTACTTTTATGAAGAATGTTGCTATGTAATCGGTTTAGTGGACATAGTGGTGTTGGGTTGATGGTTGGACTCGATGATCTTAGAGGTCTTTTCCAACCTTAATGATTCTATGATTCTAAATGCCTTTTCTGAACAGCAGATATACCGGTTAACAGCCACATGCAACAACTGTGGAGCTACCCTCGCTAGCCAGCTGATACCCCCTGCTGCACAGCCAGCCACTTCCAAATAATGGACTATTACCCCAACAGTGCAATACTACCCCTTCTTCTCCCCAGCCAGGAGACTATTTTGAGTGGTTTTCATATTCCAGTAGTTTCCATAGATCTTTCCAGCTTTGTAACTGCTGTAAGTGTCCCTAAGATCTCTACACTTCTCTTGTTTTGGTTGAATTAACAGACAATCATGCTGTCTGCCCATTTGAACGTACGTCTCTTTTTCTCTAGGAACTGGGCTATAAAAAAAAAATTTAAAAATTTTTAAGTGTTTTCCCTCCAGTGTTTTCCCTTCTAGCACACAAGACACCAGCACAAATGCAAGAGAACTCTAATGCAGAAAAAACACTGCCTATGATCAAAGTGCTGGCAAGCAGACAAAACTAACAACAGAGGATTGTCTCTCATTTTACCATCTACAGCATTCCCACATAAAGCTGGAAAGAAAGAATACACACTTTCACACAAAACGTGATTCATTACAAATATTCCTTTAATTGCTACGTGCTGCCCCCAAAGAAACCCTAAAAATCTAAAATCTGAAGCTTTCTTCAGACTTTGCTATTCCATGCTCTTTTTCTTTGTAAGTAAAAAGGCTACTGTTTGGACTATTCCTTTTTCCAACAGAATGACAGTAACAGCATTAGACCTATTACTGCAGCAATTTAAAGTAAACAGTAACATTACCAAAAGAACTTCTATAACTATTTTTTTAAATAGTTGCACCTGATAAAAAGAAAAACATTATAATTAGTAAACTCCAACACAAAGTTCTAAAAAGATGATAGAGTTTCCTTTTTTTTCCAGGAGAGAAAGAAAAACCTCACTCCTACAGCCAGTCACTGCATTTGTATCACTGCCTCTTCAGTTACTATGAATAAGTTACTAAATGTTGCTATGTCCCACATTTCCATACCATTACCTGGACAAAAGTGATAAGTAAAACATGCTGAAGATATAGATTTACAGAAGCACCACAGAAAATTGCTAAAGCCAAAAAGAAAAATAAAGTATTCCTAGGTGTGGTAACATTTTTAAGATACCTGTCCAGAATTTTTCTGATTGATAAGTTGGTCTCCTGCTATAAGGGGATCCCAGTTCTGTTGTCGTATTAGGTCCTTAACCTCCTCATTTGGAATATCTATTCGATAATTAAAGTCACCACACCAAAAAATATAGTCATGGGAAAAGAGCATCCTTCCCTGTAAAACAGAAGCACACAATGAAGTTAAAAACAACCAAGTGACAAATTTACTATTTCCAGGTGCAGAAGTTCAGTTTTTAACTGTAAAATATGCATCATTTCTAGCTGATGAGGACAACTGACATACCTGTTTGTTATTTAGTGTTCATATGGTTAGAACAACATAGCCAACTATGGTATTCACGCATATAGAATATGAAAGAAGAAGTAACATTTCTTACGTAGTTTGCATTTCTAAAGAAACATGAATCATCTGAATTAATTCTAAAATTCTTCATCTTTCTACTTCTGTTTTAGCAGTCTGCTCTTAAGATGATGACTGCTACCTGTGTCACAAAGAGGTTACAAAAGAGAACAAAACACTACCCTGGGATCGTGTGGCACAATATCCTAACAAACTGCAAATCAAGGGTTTTATTATTCAGATTTAATTGAAGACTTTTCAGTTACATACAATTTTCATGGCTAGGGAGAGACAGAAGGGCTCTGTTAGTTTAAAGAAAGCCTAGGGTTTAAAGTGAGAACTTTTACTTCCTTCTTTTTTTTTGATTTTTCCATTGCCCTTAAGGAAATCAAAGCAGATACACTGGCAGATTAAACCAGCAGCATTTAGGAAGCTGTTTCTGGGGACCATAAGAATACAGTACTTTCAAGAAAAACTGAAACATGACCATGGGGACAAACTTAGAAATGAAAAAACCCTGTAAAATAAGATGTCAGACTCCTGCACAGTGCCATAGAAACTAACAAAGGACAATCTGACTACACAATTTAAGACAGCTTTAAGTCTCAAGGGAGCATTTTGTCACACTGATAAAATTATCAAGTATTTACTTGGTGTTTGATAATTCTTTATGAAAATATGGTACAGAACTGTACAATCCAACTTGACAAAAATGAGTAAACAAGAAGTTAAAATGAGTTAGCAAAAATCATTCTTATGTACTGAAAACAGTGCTGTTTCCCATGGATTTTTTTCTCATAATTCATTAACTCCAGTGCCTACAGAAGTTCTTCTGCATGTCAGGAATCTAAAAGGTCTCTTTCCTATGCTAAATCCTTGATGCCTAATGCAAGTGAATTCATGCTTCATCATCTCTATTAGTCATTTCACTGGAAAGGTCTATTCTTTCTGCAATCATCTATTTTAATAAAAACCTCTAACCCAAGGAAATTTTATTTCCACAGGAATCTGGGGAGGGGAAAAAAATAAATACAGCTTTTGGATGACACTGCTGGAGCTCAAAGGGTTTAACTTCTCATTTGTTATGGAATTTGAACGCTGTTGCTTACCATTGGGAAACCGAGCTTGCGAGCTATTTCTACGAAGTCTTCATTTCTCTCTTTAACTTGTGATTGCCCTGCAGCAAAATGACTGCAGACAAAGCAAAGACTGGATGTATGAAACAACATCCGAATTGCTACTGCACCTTTATTACCAGTGGCTCCTCCCATGCCAGTCTTTACAGTATCAACAGCAACATCCCTGGAAGAGTTAAACAACTGTTAAACCTTCAAATACAATGGCATAGAAGTGAACAGCTTTAAGTATGTCTGAATATGACATTATGTTGGCAAGAGAACATTTTCACATTGTTCCTTCAGCAGTAAGGCCACTGAGCTATTTCAGAAAAATGCCAACAGCTATTGACCAGCTAACAAGCTTTTCAAGCTTTCTTGGCAACCAATGAGGCATTTAAAAACTAAGATAAAAGAATTTAAGCAACTAGTTCCCCAGAAGATGGAACAGCTCTTTTAGAGCCCCATATGCTTCCTAGTATACTTGTATGTTAGCTTGCAATACAAAGCAAACTGAAGGTGACCCAACTTGGGCACAGCTGTACATTCACTGACCTGATAAAAGGAGCATGCTGGGGCCTGATGAACACAAAAAGGCAGACGCCCACCAACTGCTCAGAAGCCAGCAGCACATACTTGTAATCTCTTGAGATAGTCTTCTGCAGTTCAGCAGCCCACAGCTTCTGATTGGTTGTGCTAGCAGCGAGATTAAAAATGCCAGTTTTAAAATACATCAAATTAAGCAGGTGTCTAAAGTGTTGATCTAGTTGAATAAACTTCATACAATAACCAATAACCTTGGGATAGTAAGCCAAAGCCAAGTTGTGAATGGTGGTCAAATGCCTCCTTGCAGAGACACAGGCTACAGACTGTCATGACATCATCATTCCAAATTCAGCCTCATAAAATGCTGCCTCACTTTTCTCAACACCACGGACAATGTTAGGAGCCAGGGCTATCTTTCCTGTATTTCTGAGGCTAGACTAGAGGAGCAAAACCTAAGAATTTGTCCAGGGAGTTACTTCCTAGCCTAGAGCTCAATCAATATTGGAAAACAGAGATATCCATGGTCTTAGATCAAGAAGAAACCTCCTTGGAGACCTAATAGACTATGGTTTTCAGAGCTAGCATTGCATATAAATGAAAAATATCAGACCTGGAAACAGCGTTTACTAGACATAGAGTGAAATTAGGGGATGACAAACTGCCACTTTGTCCTCAAGACAAAAGCCTGTGCAAAGGCTAACAGTGTTATAGGCTTTAGATGCTTTTTCTAATGAGTTAAAAGTTTGCTAAATACCAGAAAACATGCAAAACAGCAGACAAAACAATGGACAAAGTGAATACGATCCTAGGACTACACATAAAGACTTCATCACTGGTATCACCCACCACTGGTAAAAATATATTTTCATAACCCACTCTGCTAGGGGTGAAAAATCCAAACTCCACAATAATATATACATGTAATACATGGAATGACAGCGAAAACTGGCAGTATGAAAGGAAGCCTTGCTTTATACAGATCAAAATCTGATGCAAGACACTATAAAAAGGCATACCAACAATACATGCTTTTGGAAGGAATTTCACAGGACTCGCCGTTCCCAGCAGTAGGAAGGCATAGAGACTACAGAACACTACAAGCATTGGAAGTAAATTCCTTCAGTGTTAAACGAAGGAAAAAGTTGAGGGGCTGCTGAAGGTGCAATCCAAAATACGGTCAAGTACTGACTGTTTGGATCCTTGAGATTACATTATACATTATCTAAGTGATCACAGCTTTGCTAGAGAAAGCTGAGATGAAGTCTGCAATCCTGGCACAGAAACTGGCAGAGGGAACTGGAACACAGTCAAAAATTAATCCAGACTAATCCCAACCATTACAAAACAGGAAAAAAAAATTTAAATAACATTTCACTCAAAAAATGTGATTATCAACTAAACTAGTACTGTATAGATTGTATCACCTACCTGGCATTCACAATGTTTCCTGCATTTAACTCCACCATTTCTTCAAATCCAATGGCAAATATGTCTACAGGCTTGCTTTTGCGATCTGCATTTAAATATTAGAAAAGCTATTTGTCATTTATAATTAACTTAAGAACCAAGACCTCATACATATATTTTAATGTTTATGATCTAATTATGAAAATCAGAGTTTTCAAGAAAAAATTGACAGAATACAAATCCTACCTTGGAATTCGTGAATACCAGCTAACTTTGGTGCATCTAGAAGCCAATCAGTGAGGGTCTGATTTCGAAAGGCAATACTTCGAAACTGCTTCCCCCCGTTGACATTCCATGTCCCAACGCAGACTCTAATTTTTTTCGGTTTTGCATACTTATAAAAGTTTTCACACATACTCTTTAGCACTTTTACAGATGCTGCAAAAACATTTGAAAAGGTATTATTTTTATATAGAATGTTTCCTCAGAAAACTTGGCAATGAGATCTTTCCCTTAAAAAAATGGCAACAAATCCATGCACAGACATATAAAAAGTTAAACTGTGAAAGCAAGATGAATGCAGCTTTTCACAAGGGAAAGTACATTTGCAGACATATTACTTGTCTGGGTAGGATACTGACTGAATGAAAGACAGTAGTAATTTGTTCAAAGTAATAGATATAAAAATAATATGTAAAAGAAACATATTTTCTATGTTTTATAAATATCTGTCATTCTTTCACCCTATCTGTGATTCTCTACAGAAACCATTATTTTTCATACGTGCCAACACAGATATCTACCTCATTTTCACAGATTACATTTATGAAATTCAATCTCCATTACAAAAACAACTTACAGATATGTTAATTTCTAGAAGTGTAAAAGTGACTGATATACATTTACTAAATCTGAATTATTTTTTAGGTCAGTTGAATTCCTAACATTCTGCTTTAGTGAAGAAAGTAGGCTAGGATTCAAAACAATTAAACTCATTTCTCTGTCACACCAGCCTTTCTCTGTGCCTTGTTTCTATCTGCCAGATGGGAGAGAGAGTAATGACCCATCTGTAAAAGGCATTGTGAGAAACAACCAACCAACCAAGATTATTCAATGGTCAAACACTAGAGTTACAGAGATGTTAAAAGTCCCTTCATAAATCAGCTGCATAATATACTCATACAGATATATTTCCTAATGCAAACAAACAGATTTGAATATTTTTAAAAATTACACTCCTTTTTTTCTTTAATCTCAGTGGAATAAAAATGGCACCGGTGTAAACAGTATTGTTTGCATTGTACTTTACCTAAGTGATATTAATTTACCTATTTTTAATGCTCTCATGGTTATGAGACTCTGCGAGAATTGTATAAACAATATTAGATGAAATTCTTTCCTTCACTGGGTGCTGCCTTGCAAAATGGTCAGCTACTGGGCACAATATTTTCATTCAAATCCCCAAAATAGGATCATTAGTGAGCTGTTGTTGCCGTCTTTTTAGTTATTCTTTTTAAGTTTACCACTTTTAAATTTGCTACAGAATCTTGGCTACCCAATTAAAACAAAAATTAGGGATTCTCTAGCCCTCATCGTTTTGAAACAAACTGGAAACATTAGAAGAAAATAATATATTGTATTTGTTGTTTGTGAACTCTTTCACTGCTGAACAAATCATATATCCATACATGGGCTAATCACATATAAAAGACAATGAACTGACCAGTGTCTCCTTGGGGTACTACAAGCAGATCATGCTTGGCATCATGCTTTCCTTATCATAATCCAGGTAAATGAAGTCAAGAAAACAGCAAGGAGCCAACAGAATGCTTTACACCTTCAGGTGAGAGCCAAATACCGAGTCTATTTCTGAATGTATCTACACACTAGGTAACAGTCAAGTCAAAAAGCCCACTAAATACCAGAAAAGCCTCCGAGGGACAAGGACAGAAGCTATGCAAGCACCTGACCACTGAAGACAAACGAATCCAAGAAATGTCGTAGCCACGATACATACGAGTACCCAAATCATCCAAAGGATTAGCTGAACCCGAGAAACCCAAAATAGCATCATACGACAGCTTTGAAGATCTGCACAGATTAGCCTTAGTAGTACTCTGAGCGAGTTTAAAAGCAGAGTTTGGACTTTTATTCTCTCCACTTCAGTTCCTTCTTTTTCTTTCGCAAATTTAGCAATTTTCAGCTTAATTTTAAATAGTTACTCCAAATAATTCATATTTGCTACCAAGCAGCTTTCAAGAAAAGCTGCAAAATTGAATTACTGCCTATTTAACTCCTGACATTGTCGGGAACCCCTAATGTGAAAAATAGGGGATAGGAGAGAATCTAACTTTAGAAGTGAACCAACAACATGCTTATTACAAACATTAAATTCATACCTTTAAACTAGCAAGCTTTCTAAATTGTAGAATGACTCTTTTTCTAAATTAGAATAAATAAAAAAAGAAAAAAAAAGATGAAATTTTCATCTGTTTTCCAAAATACTGAGCGAGCCAATTGTTTTTCAGAGCTCCTGAGCCTCCTGCATACATTCTTTTCCTACACATTTCTAGCTATTTATCTTTTCAACAAAATTGTGTCTCACTCTACATTAAAAATCCAATCAATTACATTTTCTGTTATTTTGCAGCAAAAATACTTTAACTGCTATTCATACTAGGCAGGCAGACATTTGGAAATCAGTTCTACAAAGGGAATATTAATTTAAAATTCTTGGTGGGATATTCTGTGCAACTGAACTTGATTGAACTATTTTACTAAAACATCCAAATTACTGTAGATATATTTCAATATATGCAATTTGTATCCAGATGAAACCCACAGTGAATGTTACATCAGGAAGTTAAAAAATAGTTGACATGTATGACTCTTGATGAGTTATAAGCTCGGCTGATAAAATCTAGAAGGTAACACCATAAATGACAATGTGACTGTTTATTCCAATAAACACTTTTTAACACTGACAAAATGCCAGGGTATCAGTTAATTTCAGGTGTGTATTACCTGTGACTCAGATTTCATTATTTAAGTACTCAATAAGAGTGAAATAGATACAGTAAAACACTAATAGAAAAAGCAAAGCTGAGACGAATGTAAAGGAAAAAAACATTTAAAGCTCAAAAATACAGATTACGGTTGAAGTGGTTTTCCAAGGGGGGAAAAGAAAAAAATCTTTAAACACTTCAGATGTATTTGAACACCAATCTAGCCAGTAAAAAATCCTCATGCTTTCTTCCAAGGATCCTCCCGTGTCAATCTTCAGTACTTGGGGCTAGTGGCTACTACCCGAGCACACAGCTTCAGGGGATACCGTGCACAACTTCGCTATTTTCTTGAAATGGGAGATTTGTCTGAACAATTATTAAAAGCTTCCTTGTTTCTTTCCCTCCTCCTCTCCCTTCATCTTCCCAGGTATTAAGAACGTACTTTTTTCCTCTCCCCGAGAAACTTAGCATCTGATCTGGTTTCACTGAACTTACTTCCAAGAGGTAGCACAATGAACCTATTAAGGCAATAGCTCAGAAACAGCTGTTTAAATTTTCTCAACACATAGTAAAATCTGAACATACAAGCATTAGGAATATTTTATTTTAAATAATAATTCCTGGGAACAAGGAGATGATGAAGCATTGCACAGCCGACAAGTAGTCACAGCTCTCCCTTAAAAATATGAAATATGTATATATCACATCTCCCCAAATGGAGCAGCTTCATGTAAACAGCTTAAGTTACAACAAAAAGGAGAATTTCCACTAAGAATTAGAAAATTCTGAAAACAACGTTCAAAGGTTGTTTATGTTGCTAGCTTACAATGATAATAACTAAGAGTTTTCAGAAGCTTCTTAAATTGAAGAGATCTTTCATGTAATTTTCCTCTATCTGGCTCATACGTACACATTCTTATTATTACATATCACTTCTTCATGTTCATGCTGAATCCTCCGAAGCCAACCTCTCATATTTTAAGCCCAACACTACAGACATTGGTCAAGATATTGCTGCAATGTCTCAAAGCAGAAGATTAGGAGTTAACTATAAAGTACCCTCTTCAGGCCTTCTCTTTACCGAGAGTTTTACCTAAATAGATGCTCTAATACTTTCATTTTGTGTCACATGCAGAGGTAACCATATCTCAGTGGTTTTGACTGTGCTTTTGCTCCACAAAACACAAGTGTCAACATGTTATTTCAGATCATTCTAGTACAATGTTAACCTTTGCTGGGAGATATTACAAAATCAGTGCATCTCATGCAAGAACACAAGCAGGTACATAAAGATGATAAATAAGATGAAGTTACAAATTGTACTGAAGAATTTTACCCCTTATCCTAAACAAAACATTTAGACAAAACAAAAATACAGAAGCTCCCAAACCAGATAAAAAAGCAAATTCCTCTACAGCTAGAATAAAGCACTTCCAAAAATAAAACCCAAATAATTGGTTGCCTCTTTTCATAACTCACACCCAAGCACAACTGCAACATTTTCACCCTTTGTATTTTCACTTTTCTTGTATTAAAGAGCTTTTCTTGCATTAAGGGATTTTGGGGCACAGGA